ACACACATCCTTGTAGAGGATTCAGGAAATGTCACACAGGTTGCTGAGACCTGCCCAGAATGGAGAGTGATGATGTCCCAAGACCTAAGTTCAGTTTTGTTTGCTGCAGAGATTTTTGTGTGTTACAGCATGTCCCTGCATGGGGTTTCCATGTAGAAAGTGGTATTAAGAATGACTGACAGTGTCACAAGGATGCTGTTAGAGTAGACAAGCTGAAGGATTTGAAAACTTGCAAAAATCAGAATAATGTTAACTAAATGCACAGAAAAGAGAGATCACGTCTGCACTTCACATAATTCTCCCTAATGTGGGAACTCCATTGTCTTGCGGTGATGAGAAATGACATCAGCTGTACTTTTTCATGGAAAGCAGCAGAAGGATGTACCTTTCATAGGGAGAAAGGCAGACTTCAGGCAGTCCCCAGCTATGGGCACAACGATGCCTCCTGCATCTCTTCCATGCGCCTCTTCCTTTCTCCGTGTGGAATTGCAGCTGAAATGAAAACTGTGGCAACTTTCACGCAACCCCGGTGTTTGCTGAAAATGCGAAAAAATTGCGAAAATAGTGTTTTCCCATTTGTCATCCCTGAGTGAGTGGACAGGAGGTAGGAGGGTCTGAGTTGCAGCTGCTGCCAGAAGCAATGTGGGACTGCCTGGAGGCACTCATGGCAGTTCGACTAAGTTGCAGTGAATCTGTAATGAGTTTTCAAAGGGAGCAGAGTAGAGGTGAGACTGGGGTGGTGTGACTGGAGCATAGGAGGAACCGCATTGTGGCGCTGTACATGCACAGGAGTTTAGAGAAACATGATGAAGGAGAGAGATTTTGGCTCCTGGAGGAAAAGTAAGCCAAAGCATGGCAGGGGAGTGAAGCAGTGATGCAGTCCTCAGCTTTGCTAGAGTAGTAGAATTGAGTTACAATGCCAGCGTCCTGAATAAGAAAAACTAGTAAAAAGAACAAAAGGGTTAAAGCTGGACCCATCCTTGGCTGTCAGCACAATCAGTTATTACTCATTAAGTTGAATATAACTCTTCAAGTTTGCCCCCGACCCTTACTCCACTGCACAGTTCCTGCAGGAGGGCTGCTCCAGGACGCCACTCATCTGCAGCCTCCTCTTAGTTGTAACTCGGACACATTCTTGGATAGTTTATCTTAGTTTACCCTCAGAGAAACAGTTCTTCTTGATGTTTGCCTCAATTTTTTTTAGAATGCTGTTGTGCAAATGATCATTTGTGAGGTTATCAGAAAGTGCTATAGGAAAAGAAAATGTTCCCTGTCCCTTTAAAAGCAATAGTTCTGTTGTTTTGCTGATTAAATTGATAATTAAATTAACAAACTGGGGCCCCTGGTGGTCTAGTGGTTAGGGTGCAGGACTCTCACCGCTGTGACCCGGGTTCGATTCCCAGCCCCCCGGGCAGATGGAGCTCGTCAGGGTTCGATTCCCAGCCCCCCGGGCAGATGGAGCTCGTCAGCCCTGTAAGGCAATCCATCTAAGAGAAGGTCACTCTAAACAAACCTACGTCCTGAGACCCTCACTGCCAC